TCGTAAACCAATCCAAAATTTTTAAACCACAAAAGTTTAGGATGTGAAAGGATGGTCATTGTGGTTGGTAATGGAAGTCATATTTGATTGACATAGGTGATAAAAGAACCCACGCAATACTTGAACGCCTCAAAGAAGCATATTGCAAGCACGAAACCAAAGCAGCTTCAGGAAGACCTGGAACATCACCATTCTCAGGCATGGAAGCGTCATAGTTCCCAAACTGGTCCAGTATTTTTTTTAACGCACACACACACACACACACACACACACACACACATATATATATATAAGCCCAAGGGCAATTACATTAAGAAGAAAGGGGTACAGATAGGTTGTATGAGTGGACCCAAATAAGCACCCAACCCATACGGTACAACACACAAAAAGAAAAAGAAGAAAATTAAAAACCCAAAAGTAGATGGTACATAAAAGATCAACCAAGTCGACCCACTTTAGTTTTGTCTCTGTCTCTAGTTGTCGGAAAGGAACCAGCTAACAAATTGGTGAGTTGTGTACCATTGCCCGAAGTTACCAGAGTATCATCTATTAGATTCCTTAGCTCAAGTAAATCATAATTCTTCTTCCTCCTGTAAGTGTAGACCTGTCATTCATCATCCGAAGGTTAATTCGGATGAGGTGGTAGTGTTGCAATAGAAAGGTTGCCAACAAGTGTATGTGAGGTAAGAGTTGTCGCCTCTACCCCTGATACTTCCTGAAGGTGGGGAGCTGCAAGGTTCTCCTAATTATCATTATTATTTTCAGTATGGTTTGAAAGTATAGGTTGCTCAACAGGGTCATCCAGCTTCTTATCGATCGCAGAAACAATATTTTCAGGGGGAGGGTCCACAGCGACAATATAATTAGACACCAAATCATGTCCTGTAGTGACTTTCTCTCCAGGTGGAACAGAAATATCCTTAAATCCATCCTTATTCACTTGATTTTTAGATTTCAAATTATCACTTGATTTTTAGATTTCATGATTTTTAGATTTCAAATTAGGATGAAGCCTATGACATTTATCAAGGGTATGTCCAAACATCTTACAATGAGAAAAATAAATAGGTCCATGCTTCATGACGATTTGTTGTTAATATCCATTATGCGTTGTGTCCAACCAGACTTCAGTAACACCGGGCAAAGTAATATCTCTTTCCACAAGTATTTTGCCCACAGAATGTCTGGTAAGGTTGAAAGTAGGTAGATCTAGCTCCATAGGGTCCCCAAGTATAATATCAATAGAGTAAAGAATCTGATGATGAAAAAGTGCAGCTTGAGACCAGGTAGACAACCATACCGGTACAGTAGGAGGTTCATGATTGAGGTCAAAATCAGGAGACCATTTGAGTAGCTTCAATGGTTTACTAGCGATGTTAAAATATTTTTTTGGAGAAAATCTGAGTGTAGTCATTAGGCACGGTTAAATGAATCAATACATGTCTCACATCCATGAGTCTCACTTTCCACTTTCCTGCCAATTTGACGTCATCAAAATTTTTCCTGATAAATTTCATAGGTGGGTGTCCCCACTAAAATTTTTCAATAAGAGCAAACTTGAATTTGTCAGTCAGAGTTGAAATTTATGGCGCGGAGAAAAAGAATGTTGTTTTCCTAATTTTCCTGCTTGCATTCTTAATAAAGGGGCAATCACCTATAGCATCACGATGCACCTTATAACTTGAAGGGAAGACAACGATCGTCTCCCCCTGAGGATTACCACCACATGGGCAAAGGAGATTTTATCAGGTTCAACCGAAGAAGAAGGAAGCTCCATATCAACAAAGAGAAGCTCTGCAAGTCAGGCAGAGGGCAAAAAAAGACAAACTGAAGAGGTTGAGGCGAAGCTGCAGGAACCGCAGATGAAATGCACAGAAGATAGACAAGAAACTGCAACTCGACGAGGAAACTCATGCAGAAAAGAACCACAAAAGCTAGATGGCGCGAAGAAGGAGAGGACAAAACCGCAGAAGCAGACGCTGAAGCCCTTCGTCGTTGGGCGAGAAAGAGAAAACGACGATCGCAAAGAAGATTGAAGTCCTTTGTCGTCGTCGTCGAGCACCTGAGCATCTGGGCGCGGGAACTTCATCTTCGAGCACCTGAGGATGGATTGAAGGTCGAAGGAATCAAACCAGGGTTTCTCCATTCACCATCGGGAGAAACCTTAGCAGAGCAGATCACCAACGACGCATATATATATAGAAGGGGGAAGGCCCTAAACAGGGCAAAGGGACGGTCGGCCCCCGCGCTCATTGGCTGAACCGGTTCACCCCTAACTGATTCAAGCCTTGAGTTGGGGAAGCTTCGATCTCATTTGTGGAAGCTTCCGATTCTTTGTAACATAAAGTCAAATTCGTTATATTGAAGTTAGCAAAAATGTTATAATCTCTGAGTAGGTTGATTTTATAGGCATTGTCGTTCGACTTCTTGAGGATCCTGAAGGTTCCATATGCTCTAAGCTTGAGCCTCCCAAACGCTCCCCCCAGAAACCTTTCTTTCTTCAGTAAAATCGACACTAGTTCTCCATGAAAAGTTGCATTCTTCCTAGTATTATTCACCTGTGCTTCGTACTTACGGTTCTGCTTGGTGATCTGTTTTCTTACCCCTTTGTATAGCTTCTAAATCTCTCACACCCTTTCTCTAGCATTCTCACTAATCTATTATGTCGACGGGAGTGGCACCAAGTCAAGCGGGAAGAGGTGGTTGTGCCTATACACAATCTTATATGGCATCTTGTGATCTAACTCACGCTTCTGTTGCAAATAAATTTGGCTTGGGCTGGAATGAAATCTCATTGCTTAATATTTTTCCTCACAAAGCACCTCAGGAAGTTCTCCCGACTCTCGTTCACCGCCTCCGTTTAACAGTTCATTTATGGGTGAACTGTTAAGCTGAATTGAAGCTTAGTGTCAAGCTTTCCCAATAGAGTCCTCCATAAGTAACTCAAAAACTTGACATCTCTATCAGAAGCAATGGTCTTGAGTATCTCGTGTAGTCTCACGACCTCTCTGAAGTAAAAATCACCTACATGCAATGCATATAGCGTCTGGTGGCAGAGTACGAAGTATGTCATCTTCGAAAATTAACCCACCATAACCATCACAGAATTCTTATTCCGTTGTATACTCAGAAAACCCACCAACAAATCCATGCTAATATCCACCCACAAAACCTCTGGTACCAATAATGAAGTATATAGTCATGCGTTCTTCCCTTTGGTTTTGGCTACATGGCAAATTCTTCGTTGCCTAACATGCCGCTCCACATCACTTATCAATTAGGGCCTAAAAAATGCTCTCTCACAAGCGTGACAGTTTTATCTCTGTCAAAGTATCCTGCAAGCCCTTAGCCCTAAACCCTAAACCCTAAACCCAAGTCCTCCGGTGTAGCTTTCCTGAACAATCTACTCTCTCAGCAAACATCGAGGAATGCACAATCTATTATGATGGAACAGAGAGCCACCACCTTGTGATACTGCTTGGTAGGTTTCTCCTAAAATTGTTCCTAGTTCTCTCTAAAGTCTTCGTCTGCCTTGTGCAAGTCCTTCATTGCCTCAAAACTTACAACTCGAGTCTGCATAGAAATGATCAACAAGTGGCGACGACTCAGTGCATATGCTACTCGATTCCGACTTTCTGCTTAGTATTTAAGTACGAACTAGCACGATGTCAAGAGTTCCACTCAGGAAGCGTGTCAGCCCTTCAGTTTGTTCTGACTGTTCAAGAACTTCAAAGTCTCATAATTTGTGAATAAGGTGAACTTACTCGTAAGTAAGTAGCAACTTTAGTGATTAAAAGTCTCTCGATCGCATAGAACTCTTTGTCGTATGTCGAATATTTCCTTTTGACTCATTCAACTTCTCGTACGTCGAATATTTTTCTCATTATTTGCCTATGCAAATTTTTCCACCATAAAAAATGTTTTTTTTTTTTTCAATTTGATGGTTGTTAGTTTCAACCTATTGTCTTTTGGCACCTCTTTATATTCAAAATTCTCTCAACTGACTACAACCATTCAAAAGTTGAACCCTAACAAGAGAAAATAACATATATATAATAGTATATAAATAGGAGGGGGAAAACCCCTCCCCTTGGGCGGCAACCCTAAACTAAGGCAAAGGGCCTGCCGACACCCTGCACTCATTGGTTGAACTAGTTCACCCTTTCCCACCAGTACAGCCCCTGAGCCTCGTGTCGTTTTTTAGCTTCACAAATTTTGTTGATAAATATTCCACTATATTGCTAGGTTGGAAAAATTAGTTGAACGAAAAAGAGCTAATACAGTAAGCAAGATTTGCAATGCAGTCCAATAAAAAAATAATTCAATCTACAAAATTTTACGAATACATGAAGAAACCTCCACTTTACCAGAAGAACCTTTTAAGTATAAAAAAAAAAGACTTCATAACATTGACAAGGCTACCGCAGGCTGGTTCAATCTCTAAAGTCTAAACATATAATAAAATTCACTTAACCACCTAAAACTGAATTTTCAAGCTCTTTGAACAACTTAGGGAATGTAAGTCCTTCTTACAACTTGCTTGAAATGTGGAAGCATAATAAAGCAACATTGTGTCACCATGACCCGTAGCTATGTATCAGCATGTTGAATTATCTTGATAACCTCATATAATCAACGTTTCGCATACTATTAATGGAAAAGAAGTTCAAGCTAATTATTTTAACAATTTTGATTGGTCATGAATTTCAGTCCTCAAACGGAAGGCTACATAGATTACAAGCAAAAATATATGTCAAATTTCATGCCTAACAATACTAAAGAATTTTGCGGAAAGTCAGATGTGATGGATATAAAATCCTGAGTATATAGATTGTTTTTTTTAAATCATCCAAATGAAATGAAACACCTGTTATTGGATTAAAATAGCATCTACTAGGTAGCAACTCAGTGTAAGAGACCGTAGACAGGATTCTCGAAACAAACTGCAAATTGGTAAAATCAAGAATCCAAAGTATCATAAATGAAGTTTAGACTGATACCTGCTGCAGCCCATGAAAGATTAAGTCCTGTAAATAATTTCTGGCTTCAAAAATGGCAAGCATCAAAGAAATAAATAATAGAAGTCACAACATGTCCAAAGATGATCACTCATCAGGTTGTCATATCATGGCACTGTAATTGAGCATGAAGCCTGGACGAATGCTAAGCATAACTTGTAAAGCCTTCAGCCAGTATATATCTAACCATGTCAGTATCCGTGTCATATAATTTCATGGCTCCAGCTTTTTTCTCTGAATCAAAGTTACCAACCAACAAAACATGAGTATCCGGATCAGGCACCCAACCTCGACCCAGCATCCAGTCCAAAAACTTACAAGCCACAAACTTTTGACCCTCGTTCAGTAGGCTAGAGATGATTGCATTACAAATTAACGGGCGAAGAATAACCCCAGCCTCAATTAGCTTCTCCAAATGATGAGCCACCAATTTCAAGCTGAATCCTTCAGCAAAACCTTCAATTAGTTTCTCAAGATTTTCAGAACCAGGTATGAGACCATCATCAACCATTTGATTGAACAAATCAGCAGCAACTCGGCTTCTCCCTCTCATACACAAGCCATGAATGAGAATGCAATATGTTCTAAGGTCTAAAGTACAGCCATTAACAAACATTTGTGCAAGGATATGTAAGATGTATCTGTCTTTGTTCAGTTCCAACAGTCCAGTAATGATTGGTGTATAAATTGAAGAGGAGAAGCAACAACAATTAGCAGATGCAAGTAAGAGAATTTTTATAGCTTCATCCACCTTTCCGATGACACAATTATCACTGATTAATATGCTCAGAGAATTTATACTTGGTGAATGACCTCTTGAAACAATATGATAGAAAACCTCAGCAGCCTCTTGAATCTTCTTGACATGGCAAAGTCCCTCAATCAACTCAGAGCAAGACCTCGTATCCAAAAACATGTCCCGAACCGATTCCTGTTTAAACATGTAGAGAGCTTTTTCAAATTCAGTGTTTCGACAATATCCAGTTATAAGAGAAGAACAAGTTATATTATCTGGCTCATTAGATAAAACAACCATCCTACATGCGACTTCCAATGCTTTTCTAACATTCCCTTTCTTGCAAAGCCCAAATATGATAATATTCCAAGAAATGCCATCGCCAACACATTTTTCAAGCATCTCCTTAAGAAGACTGATCGCCTCTCGAAATCTATCCAAATCACATAAACTGCTAAGCAACGCATCATAAGGTTCAACAGGACAATTATTAGTTTTATTAAGAAATTCCATTGCTTCATGCACATTTCCTAATTTGCAATATCCATGCACAATATGCACATAACTGCTGGCGCAGGGAGAAATCCCCAGGTCAGCCATTTCCTCAAGAATCTCAACTGCATCTTTAAGCTGTAGATTTTCAGACAAGCACTCAATTAAAGCACTGTATAGATATAGATCAGGAAAATTCCCATCATCTTTCATCATCTTGAACAACTTAATACTTTCATCCGTTCTATTAGCACCACAAAATAATGGTATAATTCGTGCATAAAATCCACAATCCGGACGGCATTCAAGCAGAAGCATCTGCTTCCAAATCTCAACAGCTTCACCTATTCTACCGCCAGAGCAAAGACTAGCAATAATTAACTCAAAGGTCCAACTATTTGGACTGCAATGCTTCTGTTCCATTCCCCAGAATTGGATTAATGCAGAATCCAACCGACCTGTCTCACACAAACCTTTTATCACACAATTCAAGGTATCAACATCAGGAAGAATCTCAGCCTTGACCATTTCCTTGTAAACAAAAATAACTGAGCCGAAGTTATTAGTTTTTGAGACAAGAACGCGAAGCAAGAGATTGCAAGTCGAAACCGGTAACCTTAGATTAGCTAACCTAGCAATTTCAAACACTTTCAGCGCTTCGCTAGTCCTCTGATTTGTACAAAAGGACTCAACCAAAAATTTAAAAGATGAATTCACGGTCAAGAAGCCAAACTTTACCATCTCCTTCAAAAGAACCTCCATTTGTTCGCTGTTCCCGGACGTACCAAGCCTCCAGATCATGTGTGCATAAGTTTGCGCGGTATGCTGAAAGTTTCTCTGGCGCGAAGCCCATCGGAAAATGGCTGTAGCTGATGGCACATCCGAAACGGAATCCAGAACTCTCACGAGATCATCAGGGTGGAGCTTTTTCTTGAGAAAAAGAATGGCGGACTCGACCTCTTTTGACTTGGGAGGGATAAGATTAGTTTCGGTTCGAATGGGAGCTGAATCTGAGGAATAGGACGAGTAAAACTTGTGATTTCGAGAAACACAAAGGGTAATTCGTCGGAATAGGAAGATGGGTGGGAGCTTCGTTGCCATCACTAGGAGCACTGTGTCGTGGGCATTTGAACAAACATCTTAGAGAACCGTGTCGTCGGAATAGGAATACTCGCTCGCCTTCGCAAGATGTTTTTGGCCTTTTCCACTCGCTTGGAATGCTGTATAATGTAAGGTAGACTACTTCTCTTGTGTGATTGTGTGTGTATTCTTTTTGTGCGTCAGGTTTAACTCATTGGTTCTAACTCATTGGTAGTGGTCTTGACATAAGACCCTCGAGTCAGGGATTTGAATCACAACCCTTTCGGGAGAATTTGAATAGCACAAGTACTGAAAGAGAGATCCGCCCCTCAATCAATCCCCCTTCAGTGTGGGGCTTCGGCCCTCAGCATGAAGAACTTCCCACATCTTGCTTCCTCTTCTTCTTGCTCTATTCTAGCCTCCCCACCTCACCCGACCTGCCAAAAAAAAATAAAAAAATCAACCCATTCACCCATATGGCAAGGGCTTTTTTCCTCCAATGTGCCAAATAACAACTCCATTAACTTTTCTTACATCCCAGTGTCTGATAAGGTGATCTTCTCTAATAACTAAATAGTTTGCATACTCTATAGGTAAGCAGCCTTTCTATAGTAACCTATTGCAAGCAATCAGTAAGCACTGGAATCATCATGGATCAGTTGATCCTCTCTCCTTAACATAAGATTTTTTTTTTCTTTTTAACTTTACATGTTTGTATGATCATAATATGGTTTTGGAAAGAAACAATGGTTCATCAATAGAAAAACTTTTATATTTAAAAATAATCTCCTGACTTCCAACCTATTAATGAGGATTTTATAGAGGTTTTGATTTGGGAGAATTTTCAAGACTGAGCATTATCATGCTAGATAGAATGCGAGATTTCCAAGATTGCAATTTTCACTAGTGATCCCTTGATAATGGATCCTCTAACTGTTAAAGGAACGTGCTCACTTTTTGTTAGGGCAACTATTCAAATTAATATTGAGTCTTTTTTGTCGGATAATATCATCATTAATGTGAAAAAGAATGATGTTATTCAACATATCATTTACGAATGGAGGCTAATCTCCGACCCTACAGCGTGTTTAATACATTTGCTCATGACCCCAGCTTATGCCCAAAATCCCCCTCACTATAAATTTCCTCCAATTATTCTTATTAATCGGGGGCGTAACAGAACATGAAAATAAGATGCCCCTTTTCCCCTCGTAATCCAAATAAGCAGCATTCTATGCCTCGTTAGCTTGGGATGTCCTTTACTCCATATTCTAACATTTCGTCGCCCGGCAATTGCCACCTTCTATTCCTACTAGTCTTTCCGTATCTCATCGACCGGTTTAGATAAAGAGAACCTCTCCATCTATTTCTCTTCCTCCTTCTATGTTTGCAACTATGCTCGATGACCCGTTCCGAATATTTTCCTATCCTTTACCCTAGGTCGCAACCCACTTCAAAATTTTTCCCTTCAGCCTTCAGAACCACACAAGACTTATTTTTATTCCCCATTCTTCCAAGAATAAAAAAGGAAGGCCCCGAGGCAGTGCTCATCTTTCTCATTAATTTGAATATATTATATCTTAACATTGCGGTTTGGGATGTAAAAGGTATTAATAGTGAAACTTGAATCATTGATTGTAGAAATTTTGTTAAAGACCACTCTCGACCTTATTTGCCTCATTGAGACAAAACTTCACCCTTTCTTACAAGCAGTTTTGTCCTTTTCACAATGAAAGCAATGTGCATAATTTTCATACCTCTAATGGTGGATGAATATGGATTAAATGGAATTCAACTAATATATCTTTTAGTGCATTAGACTTCAAGCCTCAGTACATTCATGGTTTGATTAATTTTCTCGTCACTGTAACTTTTTCAATCACTTTTGTTTATGCTAAAAATGGTTCAACTTAACAAAAAAGGCTGCATAATTATATTGTTTCTCTGGCTGCTTTAATTTCCTCTCCATAGTTAATTGTTGATGACTTTAATTGGATTTGCATATTATATTGATAAAATTGGAGGCATTCCCCCTCTGTCTTACGAAATATTGAGCTTCAATTCATTCATATTTAATTCAAGCCTCACTGAATTAACCTAGTGTTGGATTTTTTTTAGTCGGTTTAACCAAAAAATTAACAATCTGATCATATGCTTATTGCATTAGCACATTCCTTCATTCTTCTTTTAAAAGCATGCAGCCTTCACTTTTGATCATTCTCTTGTGTTTTTTCTCTCTTGTTCTAATTATCATCCAAAATGCAGGTTTATATATAAGAACAATCAGAAATATCTTCCAAATTGTCATAATATTATTTATGTTGCTTTTAACTCTCTAGTGGATTATGATCCTCTCTTTTTTTTTTTGTAATAGAATGAAGAATGCAAGAAAAACAAACACTCATTAATGTGGAGTAATGCTCTTCTAACTTCATTAAATATTCCATTAAGACCCTCAATAACGATCAAATTTATATCTTCCAATAACTTGAAGTTGAGCCTTTGAATAAGGATATTTTATCTCATAAATTAGAGATTCATAATAAGTTTTGGGAAGGTACTTCTATGCCTCATACTTGGATAAAGAGCTAACTTCTCTTGGTTGAAAAGGGGGCAAGATAATGTAAAATTTAATTACAAAAAAAAAATCAAATGTAGAAGTAATAGAAACTATATAAGTGAGTTTAAGTCTGATAATAGTTGCATTTCCTCTCAAAAGGGTATATCCAATGAGAACATCTCCTATTTTTCAACTTCGATGAATTGTATTGTGACTTCTTCAACCATTTTTTCACTTATACCTATCTGTCCAAAACTCTCACACTTGGATTGTTTTATGAAGATTAAAAAAAAATTATTAAGATTGGCGCTTTCAAGTCTCCTAATGCTAATGACTTTAATGCTCGATTCTTTAAAGATACGTAAAATACCATCGACTCTACTTGAACTAATATAATTAATCACTTTCTTTCATCCATTATTTTATCAAAAAGACTTAAACGCTCAACTATTACTTTCAACCTTAAGAGGCTCTATACTTAAGAGCTCAAGGATTTTAGACATATTTCTCTTTGTAACACTATTCACAAGGTAATAGGCAAATTGTTTGCTCAAATGCTCAAATGTATTCTTCCTATCATCATTCATTCCTCTCAAGCTGCTTTTATTTATAGAAGGAACATTACAAATAATATTATTCTTGCCAAAGAATTCCTTTATGGTTTCGGTTCTTCTAGCCTTCTCAATAGCTTATGTATAAAAATTGACCTAAGGAGAGCTTTCCATTGAGTTAATAGAAACTTGATCTATAATAGGTTAGAGAGAATGAAATTTTCTCCTTTAATTATCAACTGGATTAAGGCTTGTACCTCTATGGTATATTTCTCTATTATAATTAATGGTGAGCTTAAAAGCTACTTCCCTACATCCTCTACACTTAAGCAAAGATGCCTCTTATAATCTTACCTTTTCCCCATCGCCTTGGATATTTTTTCTAGATTGTTGGATTTACATTGACAGTCACCCGAGAGGAATATTAGTCTCCTTTTATGCTGATGAAAAAATTACTTTTGGTAAAGTTTCTATTGATAATATCACTAAGTTGGCAGGCACCCAGGGAAGCCTATATCATTCTAAACGTGCTAGACAGCTACCTAAGTATTAAAATTATGGAAAATCTGGTTAGAGAAGCACGAAAACTTCTCCTTGGGACTTGCAATATGATGCAATTATCTAGTCCTAATCGTGGAGATCTTACAAGGGATTACTTAGGATATAGGCATGCATGCGAACTATTTTAAAACCGCCCCGAAGGTCATGTATAAAAGTAAAGTATAACTTTTAAAAGTTATGAATACTTTAACCCTAAATCTTAGTTAATCTTCATATTTTATTATTAAGATTTTGTAGAAGGTTTAAAATTTTAGGGTCCTTAATAAGCCTAGGTGATTTACACGATTCCTAGACAAAACACAAGCCATAAAAGGGTGAAATCAATCCAAGCAGACAAGCATGCAAGAAAGCAGAGAAAAAACAAGCTAAATTTGAAATAATAAAAGGTAGGTGACTTTGGGTCGACAACATATCCCAAGAAAGAAAAAACAGTCGAACTCCATGTATACATATCCGGTCCTAAGTCCATACAATAATGTAAAATGTAGAATTAAGATATGGGACACGAGCATATGCTCTAGGTCCCCCATCACGTGGTTCCCAAGCCAAATGTCTTAAAACTCGTGCTCGTATCTTATTTATACTACAAGACTTTCCTAAGGACTCTAAAAAGTACATCAAGAAAAGTAAAAAAGTATTTGACCTGCATAAAAACATGTCAACGAGAAAGAAAAACAAGCATGCAATGTGTCTAAATCATATCTAGTGGTGAAGCTAAGCAACACATGCATAAAAGAGTTAATAATAATCATTATGTTGTTTCTCCTTATTTGTACCTATGTGTATGCATATATTTGGTATGACCCTCCTGTAAAAGAACACCCTAATATATTATCATGCATATCAAAACATACATCTAAGCACACCGAAAAAATCACAAAAGTGATGCATGGCTAAAAGAAACCAAGCCAACAAAGAACAATAGCCAGAAGCATCAAAAATGACTATATAGCACCCAAATCCTATCCTAGCACGTCATTTATTAAGAAGTGTCATAATCGACATCTAAGTGCTCAGTGTAAAGTCTCGGGGTATGTATGACTTTGAAGAGGTCACAAATTTTGGCCCCATCATAAAGATCAAAAGGATATAATAAACGTCACTCGAGATGGATTTTTAAAAAAGGTTGACCTTATGTATGACCTAGCTTGCTAGTTGCATAGTTTTAAGATTCAGATGTGTATAATAAATATTAGTGTCATTTTCTTATTTTAAAATAGTAATATGCCAAGTGACACAAGTTATATTGCTTGGTTCTTTAACACGATCATACGTATGTCAATTATGATTCGTTAACTCACATTGTTTCCAAGATCTACCCGGTGAACAATGCTCGTTAAAACATCATAACCTACTGAGTTGGGCTCGCTACCAAAGCATGCAGACATATGCAAATGTAAGCAAGCATCACACTAGGTTCAACAACGTGGTTACACAGATGGGGTATAAGCAAATATGATGGAAG